GTTGTCGTCATGGCCGATCTAATTGCCCTTCAAACGCTCTAAGTCTAGCGACAAGCAGGCTAGCTGTTGGTACCATCAGCGTTTTGGTTCCGCAGCTTGTAAATATGTAAAGTCTTGCAACTTGGCCGAGAAGCAGGAAAACTTCTCGGCCGGTCCGTAACGGCGACGGACGCGGCCGGCCAACACTAAAGTCGTCTCAACCGCGTTAGGGATTTAACTTTCGGCACCCAGTTTCTAGTCGACACTGGAGCCTAAGTTAGCGTTATACACTGTGGCCTAGAAGAGGTCGTCTCACCATCGCCGACCAAGCTGCGTGCTGCCAATGGTACACTAATCACCACTTTCGGCGAAAAGCTGCTAACGCTCAATTTAGTCCTCCAGCGAACCTTTCGCTGGCCTTTCATATTCGCTGCTGTGCATTTCGATATCCTAGGCATAGACTTTCTTCAACGTTACGACCTCATCGTGGACGCTAAAAGGAAGAAGCTTATCGACTCTAGGACACAGGTCATCGTTATCGGGACTAGTGCCAACGTCGCTGCTCTCACTCCCATTCGTGTCCTAACTGAAGCTTCGCAAGCTTATATAGATTTTTCAGCAAGCATCCTTTATTCGTTTGCGTCCTGAACGACTTGCCTCCTGTGACGTCAAACGTCATGATTCACAGTTGCACCAAGGGTCTACCTTTTTTGGCTCGCCCTCGCAGGTTTGCCCCGGACACGCTTAAAGCTGCTAAGGCGGAATTCGAGTAAATGCTCGAACGGGGAATCATCCGCCCGTCCAAAAGTCTATGGGCATCACCATTACACATTGTACTAAAGAACTGCGGTGACTGGCGCCCCTCTGAGGACTACAGAGCACTTAACAAAGTTGCCGTCCCGGACAAATACCTCATTTCCCACATGCGTGACTTGACCTCAGCTCTAGCTGGTAAGTCTATCTCTAGCGATGGCGACCTAGTTCGCGCCTACCATCAGATACCTCTCGCGCCAGACGGCTTGGCTTCAAAGCAGTCAGCACGTCATTCGGCCCATTCGCGTACCTCAGAATGCCTTTCGGCCTCAGTAAGGGTGCCCAAACTTTTCAGCGTTTCCTTCATGACATAACGCGAGGACTCGAAGGCCTGTATCCCTATCTGGATGACATCCTCATCGCGAGCTCTTCTGACGAGGAACATCTTCATCACCTCGACGCTTTCTATCAACGCTTAACACAGCATGGGGTTACCGTCAACCCCGATAAATGCGAGCTTGGACAAAGCTCCATCGACTTTCTTGGCCACCGCATACCCGCCTCTGGTATTAAAGCTCTGCCAGACAAAATCACGACATTGAAGGACTATCCTGCTCCCAGTTCCTTCAAACAGTTACGCCGATTCCTTGGCCTGGTCAACCATTACAGACGCTTTATTCCTAACTGCGCGAACATTGTTCAACTAATGACTGACTTGATCTGCAGCAAACAACGGTCTTTACATTTTGCAGACGACACTAGACTGTCTTTCGAGAAGCTCAAAGACGCTATCTCCAACATAGCGCTTCTCGCCCATCCAGACATATCTGCACCACTCTCCCTGACAACTGACGCATCCGACACTGCCGTCGGTGCAGTTCTTCAACAACTCATCGACCATCGATAAAATAACTCTGGGTTTCTTCTGGAAACGCTCACAACCTGCCGAATCGCGTTAGAGCATCTTCGGTAGGAAACGGTTAGCTGTTTTCCTAGGTATCGGACACTTCCGTCATTATGTCGAAGGTAGAGATTTTACAGTCTTCACTGACCACAAGCCATTGATGTACGCAATCAATGGCGCAACAGACAAGTATTCTCCGCGGGAAACTAGACACCTCGACTGCGTTTCTCAGTTTACGACAGACGTACGACATGTCTCAGGTGCTCTCAATCCCGTCGCGGACGCGCTTTAACACATCGAGCAGACCAGCTTATCGCCTGGCACCAACACAGACCTAGCTGCTATGGCTGCCGCCTAACAAGCTGATCCCGACATAGCCAAGTTACGACGCAACACATCGTGGAAACTACGCGAAGTTCCGTTAGCTTCATCTGAGGAGACAATTCTTTGTAACGTCTCACAAACTTCTCCCCGACTCGTAGTTCCTACTTCAAGGCGTTGACTAGTTTTCAACGACCTACACAACATGTCTCATCTTGGCATATGTGCTTCGCAGAAGCTCGGAACTGAACGCTTCGTGTGGCCCAACGTCAATCGCGATGTCCACCTTTGGGCACGCGCATGCTTTGAAGGTCAGCGCGCCAAGGCATACAGACATAGCAAAAGCCCGCTTGGCATCTTTCCCACTCCCGACTCTCGTTTTGCACACGTCTATGTTGACCTGGTCGGACCTTTGCCTCCATGCAAAGGCTACAGGTACCAGCTCACTTGTGTCGACCGATTCACCCGTTGGCCAGAAGCGATTCCGATAGTCCACTGCTAATCTGAGGCAGTTGCGCAAGCTTTCCTAGAACGTTGGGTAGCTCAATTCGGTTGCGCAAAAGTAGTCATCACTGACAGTGGATCGCACGTTGACGGGTCCTCAGCAAACTGCTCAACGTTCTTGGTTGCCAACATAATCGAACCACCGCACACCACCCTGCGCTAATGGGATAGTAGAAATGTTCCACCGGAAACTCAAAGTATCACTCTGTTTCCAATCTAGCAATCCTGGCACGAAGCACTTCCGCTCGTTCGCTTAGGCATAAGAAACACGATTAAAGCGGATTTGCACGCCACTCCATCGTCGCTAGTCTTTTGATGCACACAACACTTATCTGCTGATTTCGTCTCATCATAAGCGCCAACATTCTTTGGCTATGACGACTACGCAGCTCGCCTATCTCATCACATGCGACAGCTTAAGGCTATGCAAACCAGAGCAAAAAGCTTGCGTACCAACTTAGACATATGCCTGACTACTTGCACGCGCGTGCACCTTCGCACTGAGAGTGTACGTCGGCCACTTCAACCTCCTTACTCTGGTCCGTGCCGTGTCGTACGCAGAAGCGACAAGACGTTTACCATTGACTGCAATGGTAAGACTGCGACGATCAGCGTCGAACGACTCAAGCCAGCATTCCTCGACAAGCCTGACTCGTCGGTGCAACAAGCACCTTCACAGCGCGTGTCAACACAGCTCGCACCGCAAACTCAGACGAGTCAGACCGGTCCAGCAGAACCGACAATCTCAAACGACAGCACTCCTAATCACCCTAAAATCGATCGACGGGGTAGAAAACTCAAACCTCCAGTTGGATTTTCGGACTTCGTTAGCACTCAATATTTTTACATAGAACGTGCCATTGAAATATTCTACCCTTACCAAACATTTTTTGAAATTCCACAACAAAATGATCAAAACAGCTTGAAACTGCCAACAACGAACAAAACTATTTGAAAACCCATAAACAGCTATGCACGTTTTTCGCTTTGACCTTTCTTGTGTATTGCCATGCATTTATGCTGCGTTTACCTTTTGCTTTCCATATACACTGTTGGTTGGTTGCAACTCGGTTTCATTTTTCCCTGGATCCCCGCACGTAAGGTGGAAGTGGGAAAGCCTTCCGGCTCAACCGCTTACGTGAACTTGATGAACTGTCTCCCGGCAAACAGTGTTTACCGTTCCGATACCGTAGGGAAGACACGGGTGCGAGCCCGCTACGGTCAGATTGCATGGTTCTCCCACAGCAGCTGTATTAGGTTTCACAACCTGGTCTAGCAGAAGGCTGGCCGGCGACGGACAGTTCTCACATAGATCGAAGGACTGCTTACACAGCAGTTTCTGGGAGAAGTCTATGTAGCAGTCTGGAATTTCCCCGAATTGCTAATGTAAAATACTAACTAAAATTATTTCATTGTACACTAAGGCAACCGGTGTGGTTTGCTGAACTGATCTCTGAGTTCAAATGCTTGAATTGCTCATCGCCATTTCTGCTTGGCGCTCATTTCGGTTGCAACTCGCGACTGCCCTGTGTGCTATGCACGCTCCGTTTCCCTATCTAGAGCGTCCACGGTGTCGTTCTTTTATAGTTAGATTACAGGGAATGTTTTACTGTATCAATAAAAGTTTCCCTGCAATTCGATCTGTATTCTTGAATCGCTCTCTTATCTCCCGGTACTGACAACCCACTGAAACGTTCGTTTTAATATTGCTGAAGCATGGCCTCCAAGAATATTGTGACCTTTTGATTCAGAACTGGACAAGAAGCAAGGCGTTTATGCTACTTATACGACGGCAAAGACGTTCTGATTTTTTGTTTATGTTGACTTTGTTCCTTTGGTATCATATGCATGTGTCACAAGTTACAGGCAGACAACGGAACTATGGTTTGATGAAAGTCGATAAATTATCCATGGTTTTGGATATGATTTAGTTGAATATCAATAATACCTATGTCCGACTGATAAACTTGTGCTGCTTAATTAAATGTATGTGACTGAATTCCGAGTGCTCTACTAACGGCTGCAAAATAATTTTTGCTTCAAAGCAGTATAGAGATTTGAATACAATTGCACTGTAAGTTTGAAATTTGTAGCACTCCCAAGGTTATATATTTTATGAACCACGTGTTTACCTAACCTGATGCACCCGACTTTTACTAAACTGAGGTTACGAAAATATTTACCAATATTTTAAACTACTTCGCGCAATCTTCGGGGAGCATTTAATTGTACATTGGCGGTCACACTTGAATTTTGGCAGCAGCGTGTTCTGCAGTACAACAGTGATAAGATGCATTGAAACGACTTTTACACTAAAGTAGAGCACTTGTAATTATGTTGAAATACAAAAAGTCAGATTTATACAAGAGTTGAGCAAATGTCGGCAAAAATATCTGTTAACATTACTGACCTATTTTTAGTCAAATTAACCGTCCTCATGACAATAAAGACTTCATCCTTTTCAGTAGAACAAACAGTTAATACTGCAAGGCTGTATAGCAACGGACAATTAGACTAACTTGAAGGGAATGTACTCGGTTGCTAAGTAAAATTTGTACTGTAGGGCTCCACCTGACGAGCATTTTCCCGTGATTGTGCAATAATACGCTCCGCTACTGTCGGTCTAAGGAGGTAATAAATAGCCCCTGGGTACATCCAAGTAAGGTAAGTAAGAAGAGTGGAATGAATATGGTTTTGCATGTAAATATGTCAACGACATTATGGATAGATGAGAAAGACGCTTTTGTTTGATGTTAAACTTTAAAGTATGTATGTGTTAAATGGAGTGCCTAAAGGTCGAAGGTTATGGTCACGAAATTCGTTTTGGTGGTTGCTAGAATCGCAGCGATAGCTGTGTGCGTAGTGAAGCACTAAATGTTGTAAGGGCAGGAATGTGGTTCACGGCATTCTTATGCGGTAACATCAAAGGACGATGGATGGGCCGTGTAGATTATACTTTTTGCGGATTGTATGAGAACAATGATAATGAGTTAATGGTAAAAATGAGTGTGTTCCATAAAGTCGGTTATGATATACCAACACGCTGACTACTTGTGTGTGTGAAGGTCACGCTCCATTCGAATTCCTCTTAATGATAGAGGGCGTGAAATCCAAACGGATTAGTTACAGAGCTAAGGAAGCGCTTACTGGGTCTGTAGATGGATAACTATGGTAGAGACCAGTAATTTAAATACTCAAGAGAACTTAATACCATGAAATATGTCCTAGTAAGTTCCCCTCTGCTTGTTGTTTATATAGTTGTTCTTGTAGGTGACAGTCAGGTAGGCATTAGTTCTTCGCTAATGATGCTACACATTAAATGCTGAAACAGAAAAAAGAAAATTACGCTTGGCGCTGGCTATTGGATCATAATGTGTATAACGAATTAGTTGCATTGCTGTATTTGCATTAAATATGATTAATGAAGGATCGGCAGAATGGTTACGCTAAAGTTAATTATGTATGGTCATGGAAATATAAATTGTATTTAATACTTAAGCGAGGAAATATATGGAGCTTATAACATGTAACGTTGCCAATACGTGGTATTAAACAAGGCATATATATTAATTACATAGAGGCATATATTTGTATATTCTTCTTATTGATACCACGGTTTTGCAAAGTTTACACATTTACATAGCCCTTGTTGTATATTTCCATGACCATGTATAAATATGTATATATCTACTGTTACTTAAGTGCCATTATTAAATAAGCTACAAATATGCATTAGGTTCACTCTAATAAAAGTTACCTGTGATGTATAATAGTGTTTTGGTTGCTTCTGTTAAGCAGTATCAGGGATAGATCAGGAAGAGACAGTATCCGGCGACGTAAGAAGCTTCCGCTTAAAGAAAGTCCCATTTCTTGTGCCAGAAAGCGAAAATGCGCTACCAGCAATGTGAGTTGATAGAATATTCTTGCTTCTATGATGGTAAAAAACAGAAGCAAGTGTAAGACAAACAACAAACTATCATGAATTATTTAGATTGAAGGTAGTCACTGCAACTCTAGTAAATGCCGGAAACAGGGCCAGCCAATGATTGTCTAGGCTAAGTTTAAATTCCTCCACAGTTTGGCATGCTAATAGAACAGAACAGAAGGAAGTTTAATCCAAACAGGCGCAACCCGATCAGCGAAGGAAATGTCTCTTGACTACAACCTAGATCTATGCTGCTTCAGTTTCATGGCATAGCCTCTCATACTGGTACGGGAAGCGCTCAGGCTGCGGAGTCATCAGCGAATACTTAAAAAATTGTTTGGCGTTACGAACTTACTATTAGGCTTCGCATTCTGCCCTTTCTTAGCGCTTTTGTAGCGAGCACCTATGTATGATAAAACACAGCATCGTCATCCAACCTGGCGAACGTTAAGCAAATAAACTTTATCACTTTATCACCATTTCAAACAACGCGCAATGTGGGTGACCGCATGCGTTTGCTTTTTAACTGCAATAGACTCCTTTTAAAGTCAGCATTCCATATAAATGTACTTGATCCTTATTCACGCGCTGACCAACATTTTGGCATGGCTTACTTAAAAACAACGCCACCGTCCGGCTACATTTCGTTAAAAAGTTAGCCACTCCAGTGTGGGCATTTGGTGCTAGTGACTAAAACGGCACACGTTACAGAAAGAATATTTGATAAAATATTGATGGGGAACCAGCGCTAAATTTTAACGGCTATTTATGGGCATTTGTAAGAACACCGCAGAATTTAAATGCTGACTGATGTGAAAATCGTCTATTAGTGTACATTAATACTGTAGCTGGTAATTGCAAAAAATGGAATAGACATTTACCATCCACGTCAGTGCATGGCCTAACTACGTGCAACGGAAGCGACTTACAACGCTTAATAACCCGGTGCGAGAAGGGAGTTGTGGTACCTACCCTGTGGGAAAGCAGTTTTTGTAGCAGCAGTATGTCCTCGGAGACTACGCATATTAGCGTAACTGCGTACCTGCGAGTAGTATTGACCAATGTTACGGGTTATGATACCGTATACGCGTAGAAGTCATCTATCGTTCTTGATACGTTGGACCTCGTAAAACCCCAGCGAGACACATTGGGCAACCCTCGACACAGTGTTGTAAACGTGGTCGCACAGCAGCTGTGAATGGCATCACGAATATATGGTCCATTACTACAAAGAAGTTGCGGCGAATGAACCCAGTCACACGTAACCCTGCACCAGCAGCTTCCTCCTAACAATAGCGATGCTACATAAAGCTACTGCGATAACTCACTGAGTGAAATGGAGACAAGCAAAGGCCATAAAACAGTGACCGCCGGAACAGCCCTAGAAAGACCTAGTATAAAAAAAGGGTTTTAGAGTTACTGACCGACAATGTTACATATGCTATGACCAAACAGCTAGGATGTTCGCTGAAACATGCATACCTAGAACCGGCACAAAGCTTAATGGAAGCCATAAGCTGTGCATTCCTAGGCAAATTGCTCACCACTTATCGGTGAGATCATGCACACTCATGTACACATATCGATGCACTAAGCAACTGGGATGTAAGGGGAGGTCAAGATGCAGTACGTGCGCAACGAAAACATGTATTAACGATGGGACTTCAATCTTACGTATTACCTATTCGATACACGTGATGCTGGTGCTTGGCGAACAACCATTGTGCTTCAGATTGGTTAGCAGATGAAGTTGTACTAAGAAACATAGATAGAATGCGTATCATTACAAAGCGGTATAACTGCGGATGATTGTGATGGCAGCAGATATATCTGGCCACTCCCGTCATGCGTGATCCCGATGTTGGGGTAGGCATGCGTGCCATAAGCATCAAGCAGGGAAGCATCGCATGTGGGAGTAGTGGGTGTACCTAACCTTCAAGTGGAAGCAAAAGCGTAGTAAAAGGAACAAAAAGGGAAACAAGAAAAATGTGGACTCACAAACACTGCTGACAGGTGAAATGCTCCTGCCCGTTGTAGGACGCGCTAGATGAAGATACCAAAGGCCGCAGTCGGAGCACCTGTCCCAGTCAACTATCTGTCCGCTCTGTGCCTCTCAGTCTGCTTGAAGGCACAGGGCACACTTGTCATGCTTGTAATTGGCTAGGTGGTTTCATGGCAACAACGTTACCTTGGAGGCTTATACACCCTGGCATTGGTGGTGCGCAAATATCTAAAACGAAGTGGGATGCCTTCTCTCTCCTGAGGCACTGGCACATCTGGAATGAGCAGTGGGCGTTTCTTCCGTCTTCCGCTTCCACTAGTAGATTCAGCAATCTCCATTGATGCTTCATTTGTAGTTTACGGGGCAGGGTTCTCTACGTCATCGTGAAAACTAGTTAGGTTTGCAAGGACACCCACAACTGTTCAATCACTTTCCTATACTTTGCATCTCCAGGACTACAAACCCACACCTGAATATCACCCCGAACCTGATTGCACTCGCGCACCTTCTGCACCCTAATTACTAGAGCCACTGTGGAAGTGGACGACAGGAAAACGATGCCGAACGACGTGAATATGGTTACACGAAGAGGTTGCGCGTGCGGCACAACCCAGTGGCTGTTGCACAATAACTCGTCCACCGGTCGGCCACCCGCATGCAATGCATGCACTATGTGAGCACACTGAAGTAGCTATTTCCGACTAAGGCTGCATTGGCATGTTACATCCCCATGCACTGACATCGATTATTGCCTTCGGCATCCACGCACCGGACAACTACTATTGGACAAATTAGTCACACTCACCATTTCTTTTGTGCAATAGCATCGCAAACGCATCCCAACGTACCTTGAAAACTAAGAAGCAGCCTGCCCAAGGCTATGGAAGCAAGGACCCAATACGTGCGCAGACAAGTCCGCTTTGCCCATCAAATTTTGCCACTGCGAATGTGCATCAAGCACGCTGTTACCAACGGCGGTACACAGATCTAATAACGTTGTTCGCTCCGAAAGACCACACTTTAAATGCCTATTTTTGTTTTTCGCCATGTTTATTGTATGGCCGCCGAACGAATTGTTTGATTTTAGGCGGTACGCTGCCCACGATGAGACAATACGCAACCAAGTCATTACCAAGTACCTCTGAGCCTCGTTGTTTCGCGCTCTATTAGCTGTCAAACACCTGTCAATCAACGAGGCGTTCCTAGCATACACCAAATGCCAAATCTACCGCATAATGGGCATCCTGTACGTTGTAATTTTGGCCGCTAACGCGTTGCACCTCCAGGAGTAACGGAAGACGGCACATAACTATGTGCAGTGGGGTACACAGATTGAAAAGCGTGGACATGCGCTATGCACTTATCATTCACCACTGTCTCTGCTGTCTCCGTCGCGGAGAACATAAGGCACATGTTGCGCAAAGCGTTCAACTTTCATTCAAAATCACGACGTGGAAAAAGGAACGTCCTACATTTTGTATATGTACTAACATGCAACACCACAGTATGTAGCCATCGCAGTTCATATAGTGTGGCATCTGTCTGCATTACCTCACTGTCAAGGTCCACCAGGGCAAGTAGGTACCTCGGAACAAATAACAGGAACCGTAGCTCCGATTCCTCGTACTAAATGTTACACTGAACAGCGCTGCCAAGCAACTGCGTTTCAACTTTCATTGAGTTCCTGTCTACCTTTCCCTCATCTGATACCTTATGGTCCGCAGGTCGTGTCAGTTCCCTCTTACCGTACTGCTGTAAGGCATAATTTTACAGCTCGCGTATGTCCTTAAAAGACTGTGTTATACAAGAGAAGTCCTCCTCCGCGTGCTGCGCAAGGTGTCTGTTGCTCACATAAAGAGACGGCTTGCCCAAAAGAAACGTATGACCGTGCACAACGCTGAAGGCCTCTGTAAGGTGCCACCAACCGTTATGCCGTATGAAAATCTTTGCATTCAAGTCGTAACTTTAGTACCTGCAGTTCATAAGCAGTTCATAACATGTCAACTTACCGCTATTTTGTGTACCCACTTTGCCTGCAGTGCATGTATCTATAGTGTACGGATCTGTGCCGCACACCCTGAATCAGCTGTCTACCGTTTCTCTTCCAACACGCTTCAGATGTCAGGACATCTGATTTGGAGAAACGTGATACAGTTTGCAGTTGGAAGCGCTTAAAATCACTTTCAAAGTTCTCATAAGTGCGGTACACACACGGAAGGAAGAGAGCATGGAAAGAAGCGGTATCATTGACTGCAATGACTACGACTGAATCCCCCAACGCACGTTGTGGTGCATTCAAACTATCATCATACTCATGGAAACCCATGTCATCGTTGCAACTCATAGTCGTTTTCTTCACATTAACGGCTTTTATATCCAAAAGTATTCATTTTTTTCCTTTACCAAGGCACAGTAACGTGCTGTCCGCTACGGTGACTTCCCAGTCGCCTGCTTATCGCCGACGGTTGTGGAGCACGGTTCTGTCAATGCTTATAATCCAACTGCTGCCCAAATCCCACATTGTAAACTATGAACACTAGTGCAATCAAAATATGTAACAATACAATAACTTCTCCATACTGTGCAGAATGTTACCTAATTAAAGTTTATATTTGGTATATGCAACATCATTTCACTTGTTTTGAATCGTTGACCTTGTCGTTTAGAGTTGTTGATAAAGTAACGTCAAATATTGCTAAGGGAATAGGAGCACAGCAGCGCTGTGGCGAGGCTAACAATATTCAATTTGTATAAGTGATTAATTTTACTCAGTTGTACATGATTACTGGTCCAGATATTCGATGTCGTTTATACCTTAGGCCTGCTTTGGCATGATATGTAAAAGGTGTCAGTTCTCAGGCACAATCTATTCGCATAGTCTTAAACATATTTGCTCCTTGAATTTGTGTTTGGATGTTTCTATTTGCTGAACATCTCAGCCAGTACTTAGTTGTTGCGGGTAATTATATGCAGTAAATCTCGAAGTTGATAAAATCATGATTCTTAAGGTGCATAGGTTTTACATGCCATAGAATGTAATGCTAAAACATTATTACATTACATATAAACTGGAGTAAAAGATTATGATTATAAGGCTGATGTTTATTGGGCTCAAGGCTCACTAGTCCTGGGTTTTCTAGCCATCGCTAGTTAACATGGCATAGATTCAAGTAGTGGATTAGTTTTAATTCACACTAAAATCACTAAATTGAGGAAACTTTAAGAAATGGAGCCAGAAGCTAAAGTGTATAAGTATAGAACAAGTGGATGTATTAGAAATACCGGCAATATATTAGGTGATTACCTTATAACTTGCGTTTATACTTTATTAGCAAATAACAAAATTTAACATGCTGCGACATTTTAAGCAATGTACTACATCGATGCATAACACATAGTGACATTTGTCCTGTACATTAAAACCTGTTTATATAATGATTCAGACGAATGTAGTTTTAGTGGTTGGAGATCGGCTGTTGACACGTTCATATCAAAGCAGCCATATTTAATGACAAACTATAACCGGTGAACTTAGTAAACCCAGTGAACCAGTGAACCTAGCTGACGTCATGTAAAAGACATGCACGTTGTCTTTGACGATAAAACATACCATTTGTTTTGCGGTAGTTTGCTATAACGTTCGCCCGAATACATGAAGCGAATAGTTAGTTAACTACAATTTGGCTAGAGCTTACCGGTGGTTACGGTTAGTTTTTGATAAGTAGGATGCTAGGGTCAAAAAGTCTTGCGTAAATTTTTACGAATATTGAACATCTGCAATTGACCGGCCTACCTGCGATAATATGAGCACTCCGCAATAATGCTAGCTAGTTGGAAATATTCTCTTATGAGTCAGGTTGCTGCGTCAGTACATCACAAGCATTTTTAAGCCAGCGTTATTTTATTCTATCTTTGTGTTTGGCTCCTTCCTGATTACTTTAGCCATGTTTGTTTATGCCGAAGTTCAGTTTGCATTTTAACTTTAACGTCGAACATACCGTACCGTTCACTATGCTTTTTTATTATGAAGGATTTAGTATCAAATATTCGTTTTGGTTGCTAACATTCGCCGCTCACAACCTTTTATTTCGCATTTTATTGTTAAATGTTCTTTAGCTTACGCTTAACATCGAGATGAAATCCTTGCCTTATCCGTTTAAGATCATTGGATGTGTGTTAAATTTACTCATGTGTGTTATCAGTTAAAATTTTTCGAGAACTTTCAGTAACATAGCACGATTTAGCTGAAAATTTGTGTACGAAAGTTTGAATCAAATATGACTACAAGGTGTAGATCAGTTACAAACTGGTATGTATTTTGAATTATTCCGTTTAGAGCAACCCCGTGTGTTTTGACTACAGGGCTGGCCTGACGCCCCTACAGCCTTTACGTTAGGCTTTATGCTTGTGTTATACAATGCCATTGGCACAATTAACCATGGTTTTGTGCAGTACCGTTATATCTGACAACAGTTGCTTATCCGCTCGGTGCAGTGTGAACACTGCAGCCCCAGTTTGTAATAGCATAACTTATAAAAGCCTGTATAAAGCACAGGGAAAGGTGAGGTATTGAAATGAAAAGGCGGTAACTATTGTAGGTTGGCGGCATGTCAATCTACGTAAGGCTTCGCCCTGTGAGAATAATCTACGTTAACCAACATGTCTTAATATTGATGTCTTCTATGTGCGTGACTCAAGTGACACCTCACTCTAGATAAAGTGCGATACGACATCGAGTTGTTGCATTCTGATTAATTGGCCACTGTGGGTTGGTACGAATGGATAAGTGAATTCTGAATGTATGCCTTAGAAAAAGAGCTAGGACTGTCAACTTTTTGAGCAAATTTCGCCCCGTTGGCGGAAAATTTAAATTTTTGTGTTCATCTAGAAATATTTGTTATAAAGGAAACGAGGCGAGTCTGTTATTCTTAGGCGCTAAAGAGGTATTTACGCTAGAAAACAAGTCTTTGTAGCATAAATTATCGTTGGTATTCCAAGCTTCTATAGAACGAGATAAACAGCTTGCTTAGCTTTAGACACGTTGCTGATATCTACTTAGATATTAATGTAGCTTTTAATATGAGTGAAATCTTCTACGAAATCGAGGGGTGTTATCTTGTTTCTCTAATTCTCAGCGGCCAGTGTTATTTGGGAAAGCATAACATGATCCACTTCTGACTTAAATTTAAAGGAATCCAAACACAATATACCGAGTTTGCATTCCGAGTAGCCATGGCTGCTCATGCTTTCCCTGTGTAGACTAAAGGATTTTTGCGGTAAAGGCTAACCACACATCCTTTTTATGTGTGTGGGAATTGTGGGTGCATGCTGAAATTATCTTGACTTGTGTGCGTTGCAGTGGTATACAAAACATTTTGGCACTGGAAGCTGCTCGTTAGTTTTATTTGTTGTAATTCACTGAGCAGTTATTTGGGATGGCTGTCTTATATCCGGGGTCACCTAAGTCGCTCACGTTTACTATTCACGTGGAACTTTAATTATTTTCGGATGCAACGGATTTTGTGAGGCCATGATGAAGTACACTGAAAGGATACTGATAGTTACGGAGGCGAAACACACGCCAGTGGACGCAATTATTGTCACAACCAACTCCATTATGCCTAGTTCTGATAATAAAAAGGATTAACTAGTCTTTGTATATAAATGTATACATATGTTAAACACTTGCCCAATAAATCTTTGGCAGAGTGCTACAACACATGAGTAACAATAACAAAAAGAAGGAAGAGAAAGTCAGTTGAATGGGTTCAAAGTTCCATGTGCTGTGTGAGCATTGGGCTTCCCGGTTGTCCTGACCGAGGAAAAGGGTTAATTTATGGGATTCTACTCTGAGCCTTTCGTCTTAAAGACCTGACTCACAAGGCAGCGGGATGATTCACGAAGTCTGTTGACAGCCAAATAGCTCATTCGCATTCTTTGTGTTCGGAAGCAGTTCACAGAGAAGCCGGTGGCCAGAAAGGTTGTTCATCCGCTCTCCGTTAGCTACTCACTCCCAGTTACTGAAGTGAGTGGTCAGTGACTCGATAGCCGGTCACATTGGCTTTGACACAGCGCCGTAAGAGCAATTGTGGTAATTACTGTAGAACCATGTGACCAATCCGGAACTTCCCACGCTATGAGACGCTGCAGCTGATTGCCCGCGACCGCTTATTCATCTCGCCTGTAAGACAAACACGACTTATTCACAGTCATCTCCACAATGAAGGCATTCTCCGATCCGCAATCTGGGGACGCGCCCGATAGTGTACAGCGCCGCCACGGTATGCTTAAGTGTTGCCCACTTAAAAATTGCACGTAAAGATGCGTTTTGAAATGATCAAAGAACACCACAATGTCAATCACGGCCTGCATTGAGCTTGTGCGTTGCAATTAAATCCCACAACGTGCACTTGCAAATTAGCTTCAGATATTACAGGTGGATGCCTTTCAGATCCTTGGGTCCTTGACAGCAAATGACTACTGACCTCTCACTGTCAAAGTGGAGCTGCGGCAGCAATATCTTCATGTATTACAGCTAATTCACAACTAGGAACAAATAAATATCGAACACCTTGTTTAACGAACTTACCATGGGATTAACCTTCATCTGTAGCAATATTGGCAACAGTCGTACGAATAAATATAGGGCCACATAAAACCATGTCAATAGTGAAAAGAAAATAGGTTAACTCACAGTATCATCATCATGGCATGTTAGCGGAACTTGAGAAACACGCGTCAGCTACAGTGACACAAGAAAAACGGAACATATTTGTTATTTTTCCCTTTGTCTTGTAACACGCTTTCACAATTTTTCTTCATGCTTATGCTTTCTGAATTTTAACCCAAACAACTATGTACACAGATCTTTCACTGGGTCTAATTGCGCAATTTATCCTGAATTGTTTTCAGCCATCTACACTCCTCGTCCTTTCGTCCCAAACCGCACAGACTGCGGATGGACCAGCATCAAGACGTAAAGTCAACGAATGCATATTCTGCTGCCAAGTGGACGGCTTACAACTACGTGATCTCTTCCTCCATAATCCTGCATAAGTGAAAATAGCGCAAGGAGTCAAACGCCCAGTTGACATAAGTATTACGTGAATGAGCCACCTTAGCGGACGCAGCGAAGCCAGCTTGTTGAAGGGAATACTCGCATTCCCTAAGACACGGCGCCTGACGTCAGTGTTGCGAATAAGTTGTTGTCACCACACACGAGTAATCCACGTTATACACCTATTTTTGAAAGTCGAGAGGCGATGCATGTCGTTTTTGCGTACAGGCCATGACTTGCCTCTATAAGACAGCACCGCCCGAACGGTGGCATTATAAACAAAACCCTTTAGCAAGATATATCCTGATGAGACCACAAGTGTTTCAAGTTAACAAACTTCGGCCTATCTATAGCGATTCGAAGAGAATTGCTTTTCAATAGTACCACCAGCAAACCCACAGCTGCCAAGGTAGACAATGCTTTTCACTTGTTCAAGCTGTGTGCATACAAGTGTGAGCACGAAAACGGGCAAGTGCCAATTCCGCAGCAGTAGTTCACACTTCAAAGAGGCGAAGCACATTCCGTAGTTAGGTGCCAAATCGCCAAATGGTTTAAAATGGTTTGCATACTCTACGCGTTATCACCAAGTAACGCCATGTCATGGGCACAATCTAAGTCGGTCGATCGTTTGGCTGGTAGTGGCTGCAGGCAAAACTTTTGATAGCCTTCCAGTGCTGTCCTCAGGACACCT